CCTGATCTGACCGATTGGACCGGTCCGACCAGCCACCCAATGACAATGCCGAGTCAGTATCCGATCCGGTTTTTAAAACATTGCATTTTACAAAAGCATAGGCCGAAAACGTTAATATATAAAAGAGGGCCGCAAGCCAAGCGTCCTTGGACGATCACATGGTTATCAGGCAACTGAGTAGACTCTTACTATACGCATCTTTAGGCCAAAGCGTGAAATTTTCTCACACTCGGACATGGAATTCAAGTCCAATGAGCCGAGTGCTAAACAGTAGACCACAAACCAATTCAAATATTTTGATCTAATGCATGAGGTGAATTAAACCGTTTTGACCATAAACCGATTCAAAATCTTATTATTCACGTTTTAATGGATATTGATACATACTTTAAGATTCTGATACAAAAACTTGGGTTTCTTGATCCACTTCTCGTTTCTTTCCTTAATTGTGCGTCTGGCCACTCTGTATCCAGACCTATTCATCCTTTGCGATGTGACCACACCACTCGAGACGAAGGGTGAAAATATATTGTTTAACCCGTCGAATTATTTGTGTCACTGTAGATCATGATCAAATATCTCTAATATCAGTCCAATAGACCAACTGCACTGATAACATTAAAAAATTCATCTACATTTTTCAGACATGGCGCTAAACGATTCAATTAATCTAAAAGAGTTTAAGTTATCCCAAACACTTGTTATTTTTCACAATAGAAATATCACAGTAGCATCTGTACAATGATTCTAAACTGTTACACGTAAATATAATAATTTTAACCTACCAACATATATATGCCGAGATGTTAAAAATATGATTCAATGTGTAGTCTTTTAGAATTTTCTTAAGGATCTTAATGTGATATTCTATTGTAAAAATAGCATAACACAATAAAATGAACAATGAAATTTAATTAAATGAAGAAATACAAAAAACGGTTCACCAATTATTATTATTGTTTGAAAAAAAAAATTCACCAATTATTGTTATTATTATACAAAAAGATGTGTCAAAAAAATTTCACCAATTATTGTTAGTAGATCCAATGAAATTTTTGGTTTTTATAAAGAACTATTTATTTATTTGTCCACTACTTTAACTTGATTAGGTACAATAATTAAATTTAGTTTCAAATTCTACATTTCATCAACTAATCGCAAATGCAGATTTTTCTTTTTTGGGATTTCAATACTCTGTATAGTATTGTTTCTGCAATTGTAAGATCGACAATTGAATTTCAAACTTTACCAACAATGGTATCACCTATTCTGCTTTTATTTCTTTCTTTGTTCTCTCTTTTCTCAATCCCATTTCATTCAAAGTTTCACGAATATGGTGGATTTTAATTTTTTTTCTGCTCAGATATCTCCTTTTTTTTGTTTTTGCCATCTCTATTGCCACAACAGCAATATTTCTTGTAGTCGCGATAGGTTTGATTTGTCTATGCATCATCTTATTATGTTGGATCACACAGGTGTCACCGGACGTCGAGTATGTGATCGGGATTGAAGAGCTTCCACCTGCTGAGGACGTACATGGTCTAGAACCCGTAAGTCTAGATGATTATGAATTTAAATTCGACGACAAGGAGTGCCCCATATACCTCGAGGGGTTTTCAATTGACACATCGTTGGCTAATACTTCTTGCGGCACGTTTTCCACCTTTTATGCATCCAGGATTGGAGCATTATTTGGTATTAATCCAAATAATTAGGTTGACTCATCGATTTTAATATTTAGACGTGTATCACAAATCATATGATTTTTAATATGTACAAACGTACAAAAAAGATATGTATTATGCATAAATATAATAAAATTAAATACTTATTATCAAGCATATGTTAATGCCATTAGTTTTGATATTTTTATGTGTAAAAATGATCAAAACATATTCAAATGTTATTTATTTCAATATCTTTAAGTGTAAATATATCATTATATCTTAATTAAGCTTTATGTTTTTTGTTAAGTTTTATAAAAATGATCAAAACATTAAGCGTTTGCATTTTTGTTTGCTTAAATTTATTTTGTGTGTTGCTTATATTTTACTTATGTTTTGCATGGAAAACAAATTATTCTAATTTTATTTTAATTAGAAAAACTGTTAAAATTTAAGTATAAAAAAATACATGATCTATGTGCTTTGTCACTAAATAAAAATAAACCATGATTTGCTTATATGATTTATCATGATCAACTAATATTTTTCTTACATTATATATATGTCGTGATAAAATTTAACAATCATTTTATAATCTATTTTTATAGTATGATTATAGTATGATTACTTCTCATTTTCTTTTTTCATTTATCTTCGTCTCGTAAGTTTATATATATATTGATTTTCGTTCATCGTAGATAAATAATTGAGAGTTTATGGTATTATATTTTAAACTTTAGTCTTTCTAGACCGTTTATTTTAATAAGAAATAGACCGTTTATATTTCATAAAATATATAGATATTAGAAATAATATAGAGAATATTTTTTTCTTCTAACATTTTAGAAATATGATTACGTTAACTGGTTTTTACTATTTGTTTTAACTACAAATCATAAACATATTTTTAGTTTTTTTAATGTGTGATATATATCTATTTTTCTAGTCTTAAATTAATTAATTTTTATTTTCATTCATTTACTTAATGTTTCACGTTTATTTTTTTATTAGTTATAAAAACACAAATAAATATGATATAGTGTGTATTAAATGAAGAGAAATTTCAAAAAATGTCACTTTTCAAGTACCACTTTACAAAAATACCACACTTTTGAAATCTTTACAAAAATACAACTGTTTCAAAATTATTTTTTCTTTATGTTATTTATGTTTGGGTTAATTATGTTCTATTAGGGTTTAGTTATGAGGGTTTAGGGGAGTTTAGGGGTCAAAATATTT